GCTGTCTTTCCGACAGCTCTGTTTCTTCACCTGAGGACGGCTGCTTGCGTTGTGGCCGAAACGTCGTGAGAATTTTTTTATGTTTTATTTTTATTATTTTATTATTTCCCTTCTACGTGACTTTACCGAAAGAACGACGTTTCGGGCGCAATGCAAGCGGTCGTCCTCAAGCGGAAAAAAATTCTAATCCAGCAGTGGAGCTGCGATCGAAACGTCGTGATCTATTCTTTTTTCTACCCACGTGACTTTACCGAAAGAACCAACGTGTATGGATTCCTGCAGTCACGAAAGCTTCAAACCAAAGTGCTACTCGCTCACAACACTTGGCCCAAACAGTCTCCTGAGCCTACACGGGGGACCTTTGTCCTGAGTGACGGCAACTCGTGAACTTTGAACGCCGTGAAGGAGCTCCGTGTGGCCATCAGTGTCGCACTGCACAAGAGCGGGCCCACAACCCAGGCCTCGCACACTCGGGGTGCGTGCACGTGGCGATGCACGTGGCAATGGACGTCAGTTTTAACACGGAGGCTTTCACGACCACACTCGAGGTTGTTTGGGTTCGATGGTGTAAGTATAAACGTTGTATTTTTTTTTCGATTGAAAGCTTTCGTGACTGCAGGGATTCATCTTCTTGGTTCTTTCGGTAAAGTAACGTAGAAGGGAAATAATAAAATAAAAATAAAACAAATAAAATACATTATTTTTATTTCCCATCTACGTGACTTTACCGAAAGAACCAAGAAGATATCAACGCTGTGTCGCTTGAACCCCCGCCCCACCGGAGCCAATCAGCAAGGGGCTTGTCACGTGAACAGAACGTGGCCAATCCGTCACGAGTGCAGCACGTGCCGCTGTGTGTTGGAGAGTAAACCCACAACGTTCACAATCCGAGCACGACGCTTCGCCGGTGATCACAACGAGCATCATCAGGCGACAGCCAGATGGCTGCGGCTGTCGCCTGCACGAGTGACGAATTGGCCACGTTCTGTCGACGTGTCGGGTAGTGGCTGGTTTATCGACGAACTCATATTTAGGCGACCTAACCCCTCCCCCCCTCACCTCTATCACGGTCAATGTACGCGACAATCATTTCAGAGAGGGCCCGTCCACCCTGGAGACGGAGCGATGAAATCGGGTGCCAGGCGGTTCGCTGCATCGCAGGATCGTGAGATGTTGAAGACCTCTTAGCAGAGAGAGCGGGCGGGGGGGGGGGGGGCTTTGTCCCGAAAGGGAATTGACGATGCCTGATCACGGTTGTGGATCTAGGGGCCGTCCATAAATGACGTCACGCACCTGGGGGGGGGGTGGGGGGTCAGATATTTGTGACGATGTGTGACGAGGGGGGGGGGGGTGAGAAATGTGACGTCACATCAAAATGCGCAACTTTAAATAAATATAGAATTGTTATAGCAAAACTAATTGTTATAACAACACTAATTGTTATAACAACACTAATTGTTATAACAACACTCCTACATCATCAGAGTGCAGCGCCACATTAAATACGCACTACAATGACAATAGTTTAAAGCGATTTGAAGCATGTTTTTTTTTTTGGGGGGGGGGCAGAGGTGTGACGTCATATTTGAGGGGGGGTCTGACTTTTTGTGACGCCGTGTGACGAGAGAGGGGGGGGGGTCAAAAATCGTCCAAAATCGCGTGACGTCATTTATGTACGGCCCCCTACAACCAGCTGTAACAATCCCCTCCCCCCTTAATCATGGACACCGTTTGACCATACTTCACCACGCCGGTAACGTCCGTCGCACGAGACAGTGAAGAGAATCTCAGAGGCGGAGTGGAGGCGAGTCGAGTGGAGGCACCGATCTCGTTTCACGATTCTCCTGTCGAGGCCGAGGCGATCGGGGAGCTGGTGGGTGGGGGGGTGATGGTTGGGGTCATGGTGGTTTGGGATGAGACCATCGACTCGGCTGGGACCTGGAGTCGAGCCCAGGCTCTCGGAGCTCGGCGCCTCTGACCTCTTGACCCCGCCACGTCGACACAGGAGGGGGCGGGGGGGTAATTCCCGAGCTCATTCTCGCCCCCCACGTGTCAGGTTGTGGCGGTCGGGATCTTTATCTTGCAACAGTCGGTGACGAAGCCTCCTGGGGCCGGTCGCATTCCGAGGTGGTTCGGGGCCGCCACTTCCCCAGCGGCCTGGTTTGTCATCGACATTGTTGGCCCCCCCCCCCCCGCCATAATCACGCTCCATCCGCTGCTTCGGTGGCTCCGTCTCCGCAGAGGTGGCCCGCGCGGGCGGCGATTGTCCTTGTCGAGGCAGCCGCCGTGGCGGAGGCAGTGGCCGCTGGCGTTGGTGCCACGGCGGCCTGGGGCCGAGCGCCACGTGACGGGCGCCTCAGGGGGGGGGGGGGGCGGGGGGGGGTAAGTGGGGACAACTGTCGGTGGGATGGCGAAGCGTTTTGGGTGGCTAGGAGATGTTGACTACTTCGCCTAGGCTAGAGGAGGTCGTGGGTTAAATTCCAACCCTGACGCCTGCTGCTGTATATTTGGAGTGTGCGTGTCTCTCTCTCTCTCGTCATCATCACGGTGGCTTGGAGATGTTAACTACCTCGCCTGGTCTACAGGAGGTCGTGGGTTAGATTCCAACCCTGACACCTGCTGCTGTATTTTTGGAGTTTGCGTGTCTCTCTCTCTCTCTCGTCATCATCACGGTGGCTAGGAGATGTTGACTACCTCGCCTGGTATGCAGGAGGTCGTGGGTTAGATTCCAACCCTGACGCCTGCTGCTGTATATTTGGAGTTTGCGTGTCTCTCTCTCGTCATCATCACGGTGGCTAGGAGATGTTGACTACCTCGCCTGGTATACAGGAGGTCGTGGGTTAGATTCCAACCCTGACGCCTGCTGCTGTATATTTGGAGTTTGCGTGTCTCTCATCATCATCACGGTGGCTAGGAGATGTTAACTACCTCGCCTGGTCTACAGGAGGTCGTGGATTAGAGCCAAACCTGACACGTGCTGTATATTTGGAGTTTGCGTGTCTCTCTCTCGTCATCATCACAGTGGCTAGGAGATGTTAACTACCTCGCCTGGTCTACAGGAGGTCGTGGGTTCGATCTCAACCCCGACGCCTGCTGCTGTATATTTATTGGTGTTTTGCGTGTCTCTCGCCCCATTTTATTCCCCCCTCCAGCGTTATCGGATTTTCCATTCTTTTACATTTTCCCGGAGGTTTGCGGGAACGGGACAAAGAGGGTGGAAGAGACGAAGCATCACGGTGGCGAATGCGGTCCCCAGCGTGTCGAGTCTGATGGCCCGGAGTGTGAGCCATGTTGGGCTGTACGTTCTATGGGCCCCCGTGTACGTTGAGGGTTGCGCCCAGGGATGGGCAGGGCCCGGGCTGTGGTTGTTAGTTCTGCTTTGGATATTTTTTTTTGGAAACAAAAAACAAAGACACGGGAACAGGGATTTTTTTTCCTGCGTTTTTTTTATTCGCCGACCTTTAACTTAACGCATGACTCGCCATTGAATAATTAACATTCTAACTTCGTATAAAATATCACCGACGATGACGAATAATCACAACAAAAGCTGCCTTTGGGTTTTCCACGACACGTCATGGACAAACGCATATCTACAAAAACGCGCGCGTTTACAAGTCTGATAAAAAAATTGATTTTGTACAATGTGCAGTGTATCGGGAGGATATAAATAATTACTCTTAAATAACGGAACAGCATTGGACGTCCCACCTCAACCGTAATCCCATTGTCCAAGTGCCCGCTTACGTTCCGCGGCATCGACACGCAGCGTAGGACAAAGTTAAAATTCACATTTGAGAGAACGCTCCTCCTGCCACTATGGTGGTGGTGGTGGTGGGAACGGTCACCAGCACGCCGGCTGGACCTGCGACACAGGTCACCGGTTCGATTCCAGTGGAAACGTGGGTGGGGTGGGCGAGTTTCTTAAATCCACCTCCCATTCCGCACGCTGCGTCGCCGGATTTATATCAGAGTGCGCTAACCATCGCGCCACCACTCCCACGCGATGGGCCATGTGTGACAGCACCAATAAATATTTCGTATTTACAACAAAAAGAAACCATTAACACGCGGTCTCATGGAGAGCGCGTAGCAAGTGCGTAGCAAGCGGTTCGTCAAGTCTTCACGCCGGGAAAGAACTGTGCGGTAAGAACTGCGGTGGAGTTCAAGGCGAGACCGGCACGGGATCCTGGTACCGAACCAATTCCTCGCCGCCACCCAAACACAGACGCCACATCCTGGACCGTACCCCCCCCCCCTCTCTCCCCCCCCCCCCCCCGGGTAAAACCGGAACAAGTTTCAACTTCTCGTTTTCACTTCTGCGCGATGAATTCCCATTAAGAAAGAAAGTATAAAAAGTAAGAACATTTCATATTGCGCAATCTTATGGGTACAGTCCATGACGAATGCGTATTGATCACACGATGAAGTAGGCTCTCTGAAACAGCAGCAGCAACAGCTGCAGCAGCAGCAACAGCAACAGCAGCAACAGCAGCAGCAGGAGCAGCAGCAGTAGCAGCAACAGCAGCAGGAGCAACAGCAGCAGGAGCAACAGCAGCAGCAGCAGGAGCAACAGCAGCAGGAGCAGCAGCAGCAACAGCAGCAGGAGCAACAGCAGCAGCAGCAACAGCAGCAGGAGCAGCAGCAGCAGGAGCAACAGCAGCAGGAGCAACAGCAGCAGCAGCAGCAACAGCAGCAGGAGCAGCAGCAGCAGGAGCAGCAGCAGGAGCAGCAGGAGGAGGAATCCGCCGCTCGTGACCAGACGGTCCGGCCTCCGTCTGGGGACCTTCCCGAATAATAAAAAACCCATCGGCGTTCCGCTCCCGGCTCCCCCGCTCCGACCTTCACCGCTATCTTCCGTCCACCACCCCCAACCACGGCGGCGGGACGTGGGAATTCCCACCACGAGGCACGACGGAACGAAGCGCCGCCGCGTTGGCGCGTCGTGGCAGCTGCGGCCCCGCGGAGTCCCACAAGTTCCCCCCCTCGACCCCCCCGCCCCCCCCCGCCCTCCGCCGTGGACATCCGGGGGGGGGGGGGGGAGGGGGGGTGGACTGGAACCGTCGTCCAAAACACCTCAGAGCATGAAGAGCCCAAAGTAGGTCTTGTCCGCCGCGTCGCTCACCAGGCTGAGGTCGGACACGGACACGTACAGCTGGTCGCCCGCCTCCAGCTTGAACACGCCACCCTGGTAGCTGGAGCCGAACCACGGCCGCCCCGGCGATTGGCGGTGCGGGTGGTGGGGGGGGCGGCGCGTCGCGGGCCGGTGCCCGAGGCCGCCGCTGCCGCCGCCGTCGCCGCAGCGCGACTTGACGGCCTCCATGAGCGTGAACGGCATCTCGTAGCTGGGCGCCTTGCGGTTCACCGCGTGCACCAGCACGTGGTCCCCGCCGGCGCCTTCGCTGCAGTCGCTGCTCTGGAAGTAGACCTGGCGGCGGGAGGAGCGGGGGGCGCGGGGGGCGAGCGGTGAGCGGGACGTCGGCGCGGGGGAGCGAGTTGAAGGGGGGGTGGCAGCGCCGTAGCGACGGTGCAGGCCCGGCGCGTGGTGCCGCGTACCGCGTGCCGCGTGCGCCGGGTGGTTTTGCGGAGCCCCGGGGGCCCCTCGGCGGACGTCGATTTTTGTTTGCCGGTCGGGCCGGTTATCGGGAAGGAGCCATAACCCCGATGGCGCTGCAGCCCGCGTCACGACGTGCCCGTCGAAGGCAGGAAACCCCCGCCCCCCCCCCCCCCCGGCTGTCGGCACTTGCCCCCCTCGTTCTCCTCCGTGTGGCGGATATGGATGCCACGCGCGACCGTGCGTCGAGGTGGTCCGTGTAGCCCGGCGCACCGTCGACGTACGTGCGCTTCCGCCGCACGTAGCCACGAGCGCGCTAACCGGGGTGGTGCGGGAACGGGAGCGGAGTGGCCACTCATCGCCGCGGCGACGCCTCGCGACGGCGGCCACCGACCCGTCGGACGCTCCGCGCTTCCCCGGCCCCCTCCTGGGCGGTGAGCACCACCCCTCCAGGGCCTCCGCCCGAGCTCACCTGCGAGTAAATGAAGTAGTCTCCCTCTTTGTCGATGCGCACGTTGCCGTTGTGCAGGATGAGGCCGTTCCGCAGGAAGGAGACGCCGGCCAAGGCGAGGGACTCCCAGCTCACATTGCCCGCCCCCTTCGCGGGCAAAGACGCCGCTGGGGAGGCGCGGACTGCGCGGGGACGGCAAGGAACGGCGCGTGGGGGTCAGCGCACAGCGGCGTTGCTTGCTCGCTCAGAACACGCACTCGACCACTCACTCAGTCGCATGCACGCTCGCCCGTTCACTCGCTCACTCGCCCACTCACATACACGTTCAGCCGCTCAATCACTCACCCACTCACACACACACTCGCCCGCTCACCCACTCAATCACTCACCCACTCACACGCTCGCCCGCTCACTCACACACACGCTCGCCCGCTCACTCACTCACCCACTCACACACCCGCTTGCCCGCTCACTCATCCCATACACGCTCGCTCACTCACCTGGTCACTCTCCCACTCATGTGCATGCACGCTCGCCAACTCACTCAACCACTCAATCACTCACACACACGCTCGCCAACTCACTCACCCACTCACCCACACACACGCTCGCTCGCTCACCCGCTCACTCGGTCACATGCACGTGAACGCGGGCGTGCCGTGGTGGTGTGGCCGTTACCTGTGAGGTGCGCCAAGGGCTTGCCCGACTGCGAGTTATTCTCAGTCATCTGTCTTTCGTACGGTCCCACCTGGAAACCTGGAGGGGAGAATCGGGCGCACGCTTAATACCAGACACGACGCAAAGTTTTGCGTTGTGTGTCCCTAGTGGCATCTCCATCTGTAGAACGTGAAGAACCAGTGGCATTTACATCTGCAGAACGTGAAGAACCAGTGGCATCTACATCTACAGAACGTGAAGAACCAGTGGCATCTACATCTACAGAATGTGAAGAACCAGTGGCATCCTCATCTGCAGAATGTGAAGAACCAGTGGCATCTACAGAACATGAAGAACCAGTGGCATCTACATCTGCAGAACGTGAAGAACCAGTGGCATCTACATCTTCAGAACGCGAAGAACCAGTGGCATCTACATCTGCAGAACGTGAAGAACCAGTGGCATCTACATCTACAGAACGTGAAGAATCAGTGGCATCTACATCTACAGAACGCGAAGAACCAGTGGCATCTACATCTACAGAACGTGAAGAATCAGTGGCATCTACATCTTCAGAACACGAAGAACCAGTGGCATCTACATCTACAGAACGTGAAGAACCAGTGGCATCTACATCTACAGAACGCGAAGAACCAGTGGCATTTACATCTACAGAACGTGAAGAACCAGTGGCATCAATATAAAGGGGAGGGGGGGTAGTTTCGGAAATGAGGGCAGTGAGGGTTTTGGTGAGGATTTTGGTGAGGATTTTGGTGAGGGTTTTGGTGAGGATTTCGGCGAGGGTTGTGGCGAGGGTGTTGGTGAGGGACGCACCTTCCAGCTCGGTGATCATCGCGCTGTGGATGACGCTCGGCAGCGACTGCAACAAAGAGGGGCGAGCGGCAAGGTCAGCGCTGATGCCACTTCCACTCACGCATCAACCACACACCGCCCATCACGGCGATCGTCATTCATTATCATCATCGTCATCGCCGCCACCATCATCATCATCATCGCCACCAACATCCTGATCATCGCCACCACCATCATCATCGCCACCACCATCATCATCGCCACCATCATCATCATCGTCACCATCATCATCATCGCCACCATCATCATCATCGCCACCATCATCATCGTCACCATCATCATCATCGTCACCATCATCATCGTCGCCACCATCATCATCATCACCACCACCATCATCCATCATCACGACCATAACCATCAACTGCACAGACAATAACGGCAACACTCCAACAACAACACGACAGACAAAACAATGTAATGGGCGACGTTTCGGGGCAATGGTCCTTCTCCATGGCACAAGTGGGACACGCGTGCATTGAGGGTCGTCGCGCGAAACGTCGCCTGTTATACATTTATTCGTTTCCTCTTCAGGCCACACACACGTAGTGTCGGTGTTTAGTGATGACGTCACGTCGGCTGTCCGCACTTTTGTGAATGAGTCTTACGCGGGCCATGTGACCCATCCAAGTATTTTATGAATGGAACTCTGCGGGCGCTTTACAAATGGCCCACTTCCCGTGACTCCTCCAGCTCTTTTCTCAATTAATTGATCAATTCCCCCCCCCACACCACTCCCGATATATGTATTTGATAAGTAAGCGACCCAGTTACTGTATTAATGGATTACCCGATACATATTTGGAGCGCCCCGAGAACGATCAAGGGCACTTTGTTCATTTGAACCAGGGGTGGGGAACGTCCGGCCCGCGGGGCCGTACAAGGTCCGCGAAGTAATTTGGTCTGGCCCTGCCAAGGCAACCACAGGCGGGACTCGAAATTCAATAAATCTCGGAGCAAACCTGGAAAAGCAGTTGCGAGTTGCAGCAACATCATCAATAACCAGCTAACATCACACGCCTCGCCAAAGAGAAGCAGTTCCAGCCCATCGCATTAGGGGCGAGTTAATGAAATGTTTGACCAAATATAACAACGGGCTAATTTTTAAGTTGATTATTTTGTCTGGCCCGCGAATGATGTTATAAATATCCAAATGGCCCTTGGCGGAAAAAAGGTTCCCCAACCCTGATTTTAAATTACTGTTGCGTTTCAGTATCTGCGTAATAATATCATCACTCCGGCCATACACACCTCGCGACTGCTTAGGGCAGCGCTGGCTCCAGCAACAACAACAACAACGACCTCGCTCAGCTCGAGGTCCGCGTTCAACTCTTGACCCGCGAGAGGACAAAACTCAACTCGGGAGAGGAGGCCGAGAGAAGGGAAGTGAAGCAGAGAGGGAGAGACAGACGGCATTGCAGCAACACGGAGACTCGCACAGAGAATCAGAGACTCACACAGAGACTCGCTCAGAGACCCATAGCCTCACAGAGACACCCACCGACTCACAGACCCACACAGAGACCCACAGACTCACGGAGACCCACAGACTCACGTAGACCCACGGACACCCCCGTGTAGACGATTGTGGCTAGGAGGCATTATCGCCTCTAGAAGCAGTGGCACCACGAAGCGGCGTCTGCCACGTTGCAGACTCCTCGGTCGTGGCTACAAAAGTGCCTGGCGCGGTGTGCGCAGTGAACATCGCCACTGGGGGAGACAAAGACGGTCGGGCGAGTTTGCCGGCCACCCACCCCCTCGGTGTGCCTGCCACAGTGCCGGTAGCCTTCATAGGTCATAGGTCATAGGTGCTGCTGCTGCTGCTGCTCGCTAACAGCACTTGCCCCGACAGTCTGTTTAGGAGTCTATACGGGGTGGTGGGGGGGGGGGTCTGTCTTTTTTTAGTGCTGCTTGTTGCCGGCCGCTCGGCGCCCGAGGCTCCACCGTTTCGTTTCGGTCACGGCCACCCACCTGCTTGAGATTGGCGAGGTCCCGGCGCGCCTGGTAGAGCGCGAACACGATGGCTCCCGTGGCCCCCATCACCAGCAGCGCGGCCAGGATCGTGATGAGACCCCTGCAGAGACCATTGCTGCTGCTGCCCGAGGTGCCCTTGCCACGGCCTTCTTCTGGGCAGCCCAAGTCGCCGGCGGGGACGTGGACCGTGAAGCCCCTCTCGCTCAGGAAGCTGTCGCGACTCGACATCGTTTCCTCCTCCTCCGAGTGTCCCTCTGTAGCCGAGCGGCTGTGGGTCGTCGTGCGGGTTACGGTCCCAGCGGCCCGCTGGGGTCTCGATGCCGTTGATCGGCTGCCGATGGAGCGAGAGTCACCGGGGCAGGTGCGAGGCGCTCTCCGGGGTCAGCTCGGTTGTTCTGCTGTGCTGCTGTTGTGCTGTTGCTGTTGTTGTTTCTGTTGTTGTTGTTGTTGTTCGCACAGCAGCACTGGGTCTGGCTTCGTAATGAGCCCGTGCGAATTATCTTGTCAACAAGACTTGCAGACGCATTTCCCGATTCGGTATGGGACGGCAACACACAGCATGGGGCACTTCAACTGAGACCGATCTCCGTGCGTGTCTCTCTCGGGTTTCGCCGAATTCTTTGACTCTGCTTGAGCAGCAACGCTTTTATAAGTCGACCAACCCACTCAAGTGCCCCCCCCCCCACCACGAGCTCACGTAAATTGCCCTCCGCCCGTCCGGAATTTCCACCAGGAACCGAAACCAGCCCTGCGAGTTACAGCGAATCTGGCCAGGGAGGTTAGGAAATCCCCCACCTACCCACCCACACAGCACCCTCCTTCCACCCTCCCCTCTCTGTTCGTGGGTTGTGAGAGAGGGGAGGAGGGTAGTGGGAGGCAGACACGCGGGGCGTGGGTTCCAATGCAAAGGCGTGGGTTTGAGTTCGGCAGAATTGGCGACCGCAGATTTTTGTGGCGAGTGACCGAATGGATTTCTTGCTGCGGCCCGCGCCCACGTGCGTCCCGCCTGCCTGTGAAGAGGGGCGTGTGTACGGACGTCTTCCGACTGTGTTCGCAGGAACCGGTTATGGAAATTCGAGAGACGCGGACTGGCGGTGTAAGTTGGTCGGTTGATGTTGTGGTGGAAAGTTCAACGAGACATTGAGAAAGTAAAGACTAAAGTTCCCCCTGCCCAAGAATAGCCTTCAATGGGATGCTGGGGCAAGTGCTGTTAGCGAGCAGCTATGAAGGCCGCAACTGCACACGAGGGGGTGGGTTGGGTGGCCGGCACCACGCCCGGACCGCCTTTGTCTCCCCAGTGGCGATGTTTACACACCGCAGCAGGTACTACTCATTTGAGGCTGAGTCGACCTAGGGGAGAATTGAACTCGAGTGGCACAGCACATGAGGAGGGGGGGGCACGGAGGGGGAGCACACACGGCCGGCCGCTTTTGTCTCCCCACCGCTAATATTTTATACACCTCATCGGGTGCTCGTTTCTTAAATCTGAGTCGACCTAGGGGATGCACAACACCGGCTCAGATATTGGCCAACTGCTGTTGGCCGTGAGCGGTAATCGACTGGACATCTGCGAATAAAGAGCTTTATCGCTCATCTGATTCCTCCGGTATAAATAAATATGATTTAAAAAAAATACTCTGAAACTCTGCAAGGTGGTGGTGGGGGGGGGATGTCTGACCATACTTCACCACTCCGGTCAATGCGGGTAGATGAAGGAATAGGCTGGGAGCATATACGTGCAGTACAACGATGTATTTGTTGTTGGACTTACCACCGCAAGCGTCAATCACACGACTTGAGCACGTGGTAGCAGGCGCGCACGGCAGTCCGGTGTTTCGCAACAGCAAAAACTCCCATTGGGCATTCACTCGAAGCGCGCGTGAAGGAGCTTGTGTCTCATGCCATCATCTGCCTTATAAATAAAGCCCTCAATCTGTGCGTCTCACAAACCTCAAGGGCACTTCCTGACAGGGTAGACATCTGAAATGTGGTACACAGGCAACTTTCAGGACACAAACATTCAGAAATCTGGACGTTTAAGTGCCCTATAAACATGTTTGTGCCCGGTGTCATTCACACCCAGTTCTACATACAAGATGGCAGTTTTTGGAGTTCGACAGAGCGTCAGACGGCAAATACAACTAAAGCGAGAACCATTATTCTATCTTTTATTGTTTTTGAGATATTTCGGGTTCAAGCGGGTTTGAACGAAATAAAGGACGCGTTTTGTGATGTTTAAATCTGAGAGCTTCCCCGTGTAGACTATTACGATAATTAATGATTATTCTTTCTCATGACAAAGACCAGAATATTTCAATCGAGCGGTTTCCGATGGGTGCACGTCTTTTAATATAATAAGTTAAATGAAGCCGTCAACAATTTTTGTGCTTTTTCTTCCGAAAAATACGAATTTCAGGAGTAGTGGCTAATGGCCTGATCGTGGATGTAAATTGTAAAAAAATAAAAAATCGTATCAGGTTAATTATTGTATCTATTGAAAACGTTTGCCTGGCTAAGAAGACGGCGCTTTGTGCACCAGTCTGATGATACATTCCTTCGAATGTGACAACGCCGACTGCCAAGCAGCAGTGGTGCAGCGACAGAACAAAACAACAGTGGACAAGTTTCACCACAATTTGGGCTCATCAGCATCGGAGTCACCGATACACCGAAGCGATTTTTGCGTTTCGTTTGTGGGTCCTGTGTTGAGTCTATGGGCAGTGTTGAGTCTATGGGCAGTGTTGAGTCTATGGGCAGTGTTGAGTCTATGGGCAGTGTTGAGTCTATGGGCAGTGTTGAATCTATGGGCAGTGTTGAGTCTATGGGCAGTGTTGAATCTATGGGCAGTGTTGAGTCTATGGGCAGTGTTGAGTCTATAGGTAGTGTTGAGTCTATGGGCAGTGTTGAGTCTATGGGTAGTGTTGAGTCTATGGGCAGTGTTGAGTCTATGGGCAGTGTTGAATCTATGGGCAGTGTTGAATCTATGGGCAGTGTTGAATCTATGGGCAGTGTTGAATCTATGGGCAGTGTTGAGTATATGGGCAGTGTTGAATCTATGGGCAGTGTTGAATCTATGGGCAGTGTTGAGTCTATGGGTAGTGTTGCGTCTATGGGCAGTCTTGACTATATGGGCAGTGTTGAGTCTATGGGCAGTGTTGAGTCTATGGGTAGTGTTGACTCTATGGGTAGTGTTGAGTCTATGGGCAGTGTTGAGTCTATTGGTAGTGTTGACTTTATGGTTAGTGTTGAGTCTATGGGCAGTGTTGAGTCTATGGGCAGTGTTGAGTCTATGCACCGTGTTAGTCTATGGGCAGTGTTGAGTGTATGCACAGTGTTAGTCTATGTGCAGTGTTAGTCTATGTGTAGTTGTGAGTCTATGGGCAGTGTTAGTCTATGCACAGTGTTAGTCTATGGACAATGTTGAGTCTATGCACAGTGTTAGTCTATGGGCAGTGTTAGTCTATGGGCAGTGTTAGTCTATGGGCAGTGTTAGTCTATGGGCAGTGTTGAGTCTATGGGCAGTGTAGTCTATGGGCAGTGTTAGTCTATGGGCAGTGTTAGTCTATGCACAGTGTTAGTCTATGGGCAGTATGTACATATGTTGAACTTCTTTCGGACCGTACGTAGTAGCTAATCATGCTCACGGTCTCCTTATCCACGTCATCACATCTACGATCAATAAGAGGCTGAGAGTGAGTAATCGAGCGAGTCATTATTTGATGCTATTCTGGATAAGTTCCTGATTTCCAAAAAAAGAACCAATCAATCTCTTCACGGGGCTCGGGACTTTTTTGGCGGGCGTGAGTTTCTAAAAATATATAAAATATAAAAGTTTCACTCGCGTTGTTTGATTAACGTTGTGTTACTGTGATCTCACGTGTGTGTTTTTTTAATATATATACTACAATTTCGGTGGCTTAGCCGAAATTCTGGCTCCCGCGGAGGGCATCTCGTCCATCGCCCTGATGTCCTCTTACTACTGACTCTGTAGTAGATACCACTGACTCTGTAGTAGATACTACTGACTCTGTAGTAGATACTACTGACTCTGTAGTATATACTACTGACTCTATAGTAGATACCACTGACTCTATAGTAGATACTACTGACTCTATAATAGATACTACTGACTCTATAGTAGATACTACTGACTCTGTAGTAAATACTACTGACTCTGTAGTAGATACTACTGACTCTAGTAGATACCACTGACTCTATAGTAGATACCACTGACTCTATAGTAGATACCACTGACTCTATAGTAGATACCACTGACTATATAGTAGATACTACTGACTCTTTAGTAGATACTGCTGACTCTATAGTAGATACTACTGACTCTGTAGTAGATACCACTGACTATGTAGTAGATACTACTGACTCTATAGTAAATACCACTGACTCTATAGTAGATACTACTGACTCTGTAGTAGATACCACTGACTCTGTAGTAGATACTGCTGACTCTATAGTAGATACTACTGACTCTATAATAGATACTACTGACTCTATAGTAGATATTACTGACTCTGTAGTAGATACTACTGACTCTGTAGTAGATACCACTGACTCTGTAGTAGATACTACTGACTCTATAGTAGATACTACTGACTCTGTAGTAGATACCACTGACTCTGTAGTAGATACTGCTGACTCTGTAGTAGATACCACTGCCTCTATAGTAGATACTACTGACTCTATAGTAGATATTACTGACTCTGTAGTAGATACTGCTGACTCTGTAGTAGATACCACTGACTCTGTAGTAGATACTGCTGACTCTGTAGTAGATACCACTGACTCTGTAGTAGATACTGCTGACTCTATAGTAGATACTACTGACTCTATAATATATACTACTGACTCTGTAGTAGATACTACTGACTCTGTAGTATATACTACTGACTCTGTAGTAGATAATACTGACTCTATAGTAGATACCACTGACTCTATAGTAGATACTACTGACTCTATAATAGATACTGCAGACTCTATAGTAGATAGTACTGACTCTATAGTAGATATTACTGACTCTGTAGTAGATACTACTGACTCTAGTAGATACCACTGACTCTATAGTAGATACCACTGACTCTATAGTATATACTACTGACTCTGTAGTAGTTACCACTGACTCTGTAGTAGATACTACTGACTCTGTAGTAGATACTACTGACTCTATAGTAGATACCATTGACTCTCTAGTAGATACTACTGACTCTGTAGTAGATACCACTGACTCTGCAGTAGATACTACTGACTCTGTAGTAGATACTACTGACTCTGTAGTAGATACCACTGACTCTGTAGTAGATACTGCTGACTCTATAGTAGATACTACTGACTCTGTAGTAGATACTGCTGACTCTATAGTAGATACTACTGACTCTGTGGTAGATACTACTGACTCTGTAGTAGATACTGCTGACTCTGTAGTAGATTCTACTGACTCTATAGTGGATACTACTGACTCTATAGTAGATACTACTGACTCTGTAGTAGATACTGCTGACTCTGTAGTAGATTCTACTGACTCTATAGTAGATACTACTGACTCTATAGTAGATACCACTGACTCTATAGTAGATACTACTGACTCTATAGTA